TTATTGACCCAAAACAATGAACAAAGAAAATGACAAGAAAATGTTAATTGGTTTGCAATATAATGCATGTACTTTTTGTTTATTCATGCCAAATCCTCTCAAACTCGTAGAACACGGTGAACCACGAGATTCCATATTTCATATTCACCTGGTAGGGTCAGATCGATTATTCTGTTTTCTCATTTTAACAACAAGAACTATACAATATACATATTATTCTCAGATCTGTCTTCATGCTGTGTACGTATAAAAGCTTAATTAGGTTAATACTCGCATACACTAAATTATAAAATTGTGAATGGGTTCCTCTTCTTCCCCTTAGTGGGTTGGAAAGTTTACACATTAGGGCACGTGGTTATTTTTAACGAATAAATCTCAACTTTAAGATGCCATAGAAGGTAAGGATAAAATTTGGTAAACATTATCCTACCCATGATAATTTGAATATTAGTTAAAATTAGGTAGTAAGTATATAATATCTAAAGAACGTTATTTTAGTACCGTCCAGTGAGTAAAATATAAACTATAAATGCTTTGACAATCCTTATGGCTGGGGTTAATTGGAAAATTCTGTAAATATGTTATTGCAAGTATGCAATCTAGTGGTAAGTAATAACTTATAATGAAGTGTTAATTCTTAAAAAAATATGTAACAAATGATAAAGCTTTAAAATGCATGGGTGGTTAGTACCAGGATTAAATTATATAGTAGCACAATTAATTTGTCCAAAGATAAAGTAGAAAAAGATTAACTAAAAAAATGAGAAATGAAAAGGTTGCAGGGTACTTGAGCGCGAAGGACAAAATTTGTAAATAGGTTAATGCAATAAAGTTATACGTGCTTTATATAATTAAATGGTAACTGTTTTAGAAAAAATTATCGAATGAAAAGTAAAAGTAATGTGTTACGTGGGTGCTAATTAGTGTGACAGTGTGTACTAGCACTCAATTTTGTCTCAACACAAAAAGAAGTGTAAATAATTAGAAGAAAGAAAAGAGAGCCATTCAACACTGACACTTGGATTACATGTTTTTCACTTGCATTACGTTGTCTCCTTTAAACTCCCACTTACAACCTATCACTTGTTTCCACTTTTGGATTCAGATAGAGCTAGTAAATTGAGTGGTTGGATTTTTTTTTGCTATTTAGGTTAATTTCATGTTAGCGGGATGATGACATGAATTCGGTGAAAATCACGAGAATGGATGATGAATCCATTATTCAATTTTTTAAAATATTTTGGCTACATCCTTGTGATTTTTTATTATTTATAATTATGTTATTGATATGAATTGCATCTATTTACTTTTTCAATAATTAATGTATTGAAAATTTTGATTAATTATTTTTAGTTGAATTTCCTTCTCTAATTATATTTTTATTTATTTATTTATAAGACTCGAATTCAAAATATTATTAAAGAGAACTAAGTATATAATACTACTCACGTCAATAATTTATTGATATTTTTTTGTGATTGAGTCTAGATATTTAGTCACGTTGATTAATTAAAAAATTCTACTAAAAATGGTCAACCAAGTTTATTGATACAAATTAGTCAATGAATATTTCTTACTACTAACATTATTATTAAAAAATATATATTCCTTTTGGTCTTTTACATAACAAACAAATAACTAATTTATCAAAATTAATAAAAGTAGTTAAGATAATTAATTTTCATTAATAATTTCATAGAATTAAATTTTATTTCAAAAACAATTTTTGAATTGATTTGTTCAAATAGTAGTTACATTAAATGACATTACACCTAATTAAGTTTTTTTTTTCATTAATTAGTGTAACTTGTACTCTCTCCCATTCTGAATATAATAATTTTTTTAATATTAGTTGGTCTCAAATATAAGTAAATCTCAATTAATTTCACCCTATTTAATGCTACTATCAATAAAATACTCCTTGAGATTATATTTTTAATGTTTCTTTTTATTCTTAGTACTATCTATGTTTCTATATATAATAACGAAATACCTAATTCACCAATATTAAAAATGTAGTTAATTTAGTTGATATCAATAAATTTGTTCTATTTTTATAATTTTTTTTCTTCAAAACTATCTTATATTACTTTTCTCACTTAATTAATACTCTTCTCTCCCAACCAATTAGAGTGCATGACTTATACTACTTTTCTATACTAATCTATAGTTTTTTCCCCTCCTAATCAATTAGAGCATATACTTAATTTTTAAAGAGTATATAGTCAATTTTTTTCCATCAAATTTAGAGAACATATTTTAATTAAGAGTATTTTAGTCTAAAAATAATTAATACATAAAATATTATGAATTAAGTCTTATATAAAGGAACAAATAATTATTTTAAGTTAAATCTTATAAACAGGAACAAAGATAATATCAAGTTCTAAGGAAGAGTAATTTGAAAAGATAAATTATTTTTAAATGACATTAAAAAAATTAAATGAGATTAACTAATTTTCTTAATTAATGTGATTATATGCTTTTTATTGCTTATATTTAAAATTAGAAAAAGTATGTTGTTAATAGATGAATAAATATACTCACTTACATAAGGGTATAAAGGAAAATTAGCAATTAATATATCTTAAAGTAAAGTATTTATTTCTTATAATTAAGATAAAAAAAAAATGTGCACATTTAGTTCTTAATTCTTATATAAAGGAGAAGAGAGAGAAAACTTACTTTCTTTTCTATCCCACTTTTAGCCAAATTTTTTTTTTCATTTTTCCTTATTTCTTTTATCACATCATTTATTACATTTATCACATTTCTTTTCTTTCTTTCTATTCAGACACTACAAAAAAAAAAAAAAGAGTATAGGTCTAGGTTCATCATATTTCTATGGTTAATGGAAATAATGTCATGCTTCCAACATGCCAATGTTAAGGTGGTATCAATTCGGTGTAGCTACATTTTATGTTTGAGTTTTAAACTGATAAACTAGGGTGTTGGCTCCGTTGTGAAAAAATCTCCTCCCAAATCTTGATCTATCGTAATACTCACCGAAAGAAAAGGGAGGTGGTGCACTTAATTTGGTGGTTTCATTCAGTGAAGTGCTGTCAATTCCAAAGAAAACTTGTCTTTGTGGTTCATCATATGTGTAAGAGAATGATAGATCCAGGTCATGCATGGTTTGAATAAAGGGAGACAGTTTTGTTTCGCTCAAAAGAAGCGTAATGAGCAATTAGAAGATCGTTATATTACTTACGTGGAAACAAGCAACAAATATATACATGCTTCCATACGTGGTTAGCATTTGGGATGTGAAAAGCAAAGGACAAAAAAGAACTTCAGTTTTAAGCCAAAATAAAATTCATCCAATCCAAACATTAAAACACATGCTAGCTAGTTTTGTTTGGTTTGAATTTCTTTCTTTCTTTTTTTCTTTTTTTAGAAAAATCCGATCCTCGGATAAATTATGAGTTGGATTGAATTGAATGATCAGTTTTTATTTATATTTTTTTTACCAACATTTTAATTTCTTAACTTCAAATAAGTTTGAAAGATTCGGATTTTGGGGATGATCTTATTACTTGGAAAAATAGGAGATATGATTACGAGTTAGACTAGACCATTGTCTTATTAAACTTGTTTGGAGGATGATGTTTTAAGAAGTTACAGTGATTTATTTGGGGTGGCTGAAATTTGATCACATGTCTCTTCTTCTTAGTGTACTTGAGAATCAGGTACAGTCAATCTATACAAAAGACTTTCTAATTTGAAGCTGTTTGGGCAACTCACAAAGATTTTTCTAATTTTGTGAGGTCTAGTTGGAGGAATTAATGATGGCTCATCTTTCTCTTGGACAAATAAGCCTTCAAAGTTTTACTTGTGAATTGAAAAATGGAGCAAAAAAAAGGGGTTTTGGTTGTGTTCGCAATAGTAAATTCTCTCAGGTTTCAAAGCTTGATGAAATTATTCTAGGAGAGATATGAGTTTGAATACAAGAAGACTCTTGATGGAATATGAATGTGGATTTATTTGGTGAAAAAAATACTAGATATACATCCATGGCGGTACTACCATCAGAAGGAGAATAATAAATATGATATGCTTCAAGATGAAGATGGGAATTTGGTTAATGATCCTCAAAATTTTGAGAATAATATGGTTACAAAGTTTTACAAGAGACTTTATGAGGATGATGGTGAATATTATTATAATTTTGAACTCTAATGTTTTTCTTGAGTTTCATGAGTTTTAGGGATATTTTTTATCTTTCTGTTTTAGATTTTGTTTTTTATTGATGTTGTTAAGTTCTAATTTTTAGGAGAATAAGTATTCGGTTCTAGTATTTTAGGGATCACATCGTAGGGATGTAAATGTGGTCTGTTTTTATTTTTTGTTTTGTAAAAAGGCTATAAGTAGCCTTGTTTTCAGAAATCAATATCATAAAAGTTTTTCCTCTACTATCTATCAGTTACAGAGTTTTGGTATCAGAGTTCCAAAAGGGGCCTGATAACCTAGTGAGAGAGAGTGTGAGTCAAACACAGTGAGAGAGTGATGTTTCAACAAAAAGGAGGAACAATGTCAGCCTCCGAAAAATTTGTGCAACCAGCCATTCCCAAGTTTGATGGTCATTATGACTTTTGGTTAATGACGATGGAGAACTTTCTTAGGAGCAAGGAGCTATGGAGCCTATGGATGAAGGCATTCCTGCACCAACACTTGGTGCAGGATCAGCAAGCGCGCTG